ATCTGCCTGTGAAGAAGTTTACCGGTACCATTTATTACCGAAAACCGGCTCATATGTAACAAACTTAATCCTCTTTTTAAATAATTTTCCTTAGCGCGGTTTTTCTATTGCATGCGTTTTTAATGACCCTCCAGAACGCTCCAGTTTTGCTACCTAGCTGTTATTTTTATCTCACCCTAAAAGAATACTATATTTTTTGGAGAAACGAGTTGGAAGATTCGCTTTCAAAATATGCCCCACGCGATTGGTGTTTATAATTCCCCGACAAACTGTAAAAAAAAGAGAATCAGGTTTAAATTAAATTATCGAAGGGTCGATGACAAGCAAAATGTAACTAACAAAGAGCGGAAATAAAATCAGGAAGAGTGAGATATCCTGGGAGTAAACTCCTCTACTCAATATGTAATAAAATTGCACTGATTTGAGAAAGTTAAATCCACAGCGCAAGTTTCGCAATTAAGCTAGGAAATATGCGATTACATCAATTTCGGTTACTTAAGCGGGTTGAGTCTATTTAATATATACGGAAATTAAATTGCCTATAACCAACCTCATAGAGCAAAAAGTTTAAGTATTTTCGCCCGCAGCAGTAGTCATTAATTTACTGCGGCGCAAGGCTTTGAGCGAAGGAAAAATTCCTATTAACTTACTTAGCGGCATATGCTTCCAAGTTTTGTAACTTGAATTTCTTCCTTCTGGGCATCAATCTCAATCGAAATCAGAAGAAACCCAGAGAAATCCAATCAAAATGCATGACTTTGAAGGCTAAATAAATAAATTATTAGTAAAAGCGCGAAGGCGCAGCGTAACTTGAGGCGTTTCAGCCACCAAATCAGTTGAAGCGCGGCAACCACATTTATTTTTCCACCCACCGCAAGTAGGTATGCAGCCAAACAAACTTAATTATGTGTCAATTAAAACTTCACCACAAGTTGCAAACCAAAACCATACTTATACGATTCACAAATATTTAATTTTACAACAGGCAAAAACTGCGCGGCTGTCAAAAATCACTGCTTAATCGAGAAGTGTCAACGCCATTTGAACTTCTTGCGTTTAACCGCACACACTTTACGCATATGTATTGAAGAAGTGCAAATGTACATACATAACTTCTACACTATACTCCAACTCTGGCAGTGAATTTGTTTGATAAACAAATTTTCCGTGTGTCAAGCAATTGCGAAATCGTAAAAGTGGCAAATGTGGTAAGGGTTGCTGTTAAATTCAGAACTCTTAATGTGTTTTCTGTTTTGTTTTCTTCGTTTTGTATGCACGTAACGCAAAGAAATTTGCCGAATTAACAAATTACGCCGGAAAGTAGGCAAGCAAAATGGTAGGCTGTCGAAAGTTTGTCTTAATTTATGCACCTGTAGTTGACTTGGTTTTTGGTTTCGAAATTACATATGCTTACCTCAAACTACTACACACTTCTCTAACTACAATCTTCTCGCTAGAAATGAAATTAACAGTTTCTCCTTTAACTTCAAAAGCATAAAAAACCGCACACACAAGTATATAACTAATCTTAAAATTTTGCTACAATTTATTCCAAAGTGTTCAGATTTCACGCAAATTCCCTATTTTTTGTCTGTGTTTGTATTTACATTCATTTGTGTAAAAGCACTTCAAATTCTTTTCCTAAACTCTGCTTCCCAATTAGCCAAGCAAATCCTAAGGCAAATTTCAGAGGAGTATTTAAACGGCACTTAAGTTTAATTTTGGATTATTATTTAAATGCATTTTACCTTTCGTTAAGTTTCAGATCAACTTTATTTAAATATGCTAATGAAGTGGCAACACTGTTGCTTTTTCTTATCTATATCCTACAGTCTTGGCCATTTAAGTGCCGATTTAATATATGTGTGATCTGATAATTAATTTTTGAAGTTAATCGACAATCCCTGCTTAAATAGGCCATCTGAAATTGGGTCTTAGTGTTTATTTATTATATTCAAGTTATATAAACATATCAGGGAAGCCAGCTCGTAGGGAATTCCCCGCATTGCATATCCAAAATCTTTCTAGAAAATTTAATTAAAATGCTTAACATTTTTACGATAATTTGTTGAATTTTTTTTTAAATATTGCACAAAGTTTGAAAATTGGATACGGTTTTTGTTAAAGAATTCACTATAATTTATTTTCAAAAAAAAAACTAAAAAAAAAGATTTGGTGCAACTAAATTTTTTACGACCACTGTATGTTTATAAACATTATATTCACATTTTTTAATGACTTTTTGTTAACTAACTTTATAAAAGTTTGGTTTATGAATACATACATGAATAACATTAGAAGAAAACAATAAACAGAAAGACCAGCAATATTTCAAATTTCATATTTTTTTGTAAATAAGGATATATCTATGGGTGGGGAATTTGACGAAATCGGGGAATTTCAATGTTGAAATCGGGGAATTCTAAAAAATGAGTTGGCTACGCTGAAACACATACACAGATACCTAATAAAGGAAACTTTCAATACTAAGTAATCAGTAAGGCTACGCAGCAAAATTTGTCTTAAGTGAGAGTTTTGTGCAAATTTTACGACCACTTTGTAATTTTAAACACACGCGCTCTAAATTTACATGCTACAGTAAGCCTTTTTTAGGTGACTATCGTCTTGTGACCAGGCAGAAATTAAAGCAACGTCATTTTCAATGCAAGCGATAATAACGCTTGAAGCATCAGTGGTTGTTTTGAAAGTT